GATTCTCTGGATTCAGGAAGATATTCTCCGCTGTCAGGTTTCCATGAATGTACTCATTTTCATGGAGGAATTAAAGGGCATCCAGTAGCTTGCAGGCCACCTGGAACACACACTTCTCCAGCATCACATGCTTTGGGCTCTTATCCAGGGCTGACTGCAGGCTCCACCCCAGGCTGGAGAACACCAGAACCTGTACTTGTCGTGGTAAACACCAAAACCAACACAGGTGGGGAAGGCCAGGAGCAGGATCGAGTACAGATTCTTACAGTTGTTCATTTGCAGAAGCTTAGCAGCCCGCTGGAAGAAGTTCTGCTCATTGAACAGGCACCTGTCTTTGGCACCCAGTTTGATGGAGAACTGGTGTTTCTGAGACCCTGACTCACAGGGGAGGACAGAGGTGGGCTCAGATGCATAGAGAATGCCCTGGCTGTCTCTGGTCTGCAGTGCTCCCAGCCTCCAGTGCTGCCCATTCTTGTCCGTTAGCTCCAACCCCAACAGCAAAGCTTCAAGCAAGATGGCTGCCAAGTTTTGCCTCAGCACCTGTGGACTGTGCTTGGTGGACTGAGAGCTGCTTTGGGGGCTGGGGTTCTGTTCCTGGCCCCTTTGGGTCTCTCAGAAGAACTCACAGCATCTTCAGGCTCAGGACTGCCACTGTCAGAGAGGAAGGATGACTGGGATGATATGACAATGTTTGAACATTTCATTTTCTTGGGAAAGGCTCTCTCTGAGCCTCGCAAGGATGACTCCCACCGCCTGACACAGGTTGGGGACTTTGTGTGCTCCTCTGTAGGCAAAGGTTTTCCACAAGTAGGGGCAGAATTTGAATGCTGCTTCAATACTTTTGCCACAGTCTGGACAGAAGGAAATCATACTTTATGGGATCAGTCTGGTCCTTGGATTCACTGGGCTAGAAACTCCATCTCGACAGTGGCCTTCTTAGTCATCCAGCGGAAACTTCCCTATGATCCAATTTCTAACTGGATCTAAGAATTTCAGTTTTAAAGAAAAATATTTACTCTCTCTAGAATACTGACTTCTCCTTTTGGAGGGAATATATAACTACAGGTACCACTGCCCATACAGAAAACTGGTGAAGTACCTACACATTGTATTTGTCCATTGATGCAAACATTTCAGAAATGCACTTATATTTAGTAACGTCTGAATATGCATCAATTATTGATAAATTCTAATTGATAATAATTCTGTAACTTTGAGCCTATTAATTACTTAACACTAATTTCCTTATTTCTAATATTTTAATGCTATTCAATAACAAACGACTAAATTCTACTGTATGTTACCATTTGTTTTATCAAGTAGTTGGACCTGTTTGTATGATTGTCCAATAAATTTACCTATAATGCTACCTAAATTTTGAATATTCCTTCTTTAGAAATACATTCTATTTTATATAAACAATAATTCCACGGAAGCACAAGAGAATAACCTATCCTCTAATAATAAGCATGAAGGAAAGAAGAATCTACAAACAGAACAAATTTATTCTTTAATTTATTCAAAGTAGCTTTTTTCTTTTTTTTTTTTTGTACCGGGGACTGAACTTGGGTCCTTGCACTTGCAAGGCAGGCCACCGAACCGCTGAGCTAAATCCCCGGCCCAGAGTAGCTTTTCTGGTTTATATCTATTATGTTCTTCATATCTAGTGTTTAGGCCCTTAACAGTGACAATCATCTATAAAATAATCTATATATTTTTTAGAAGTGATATCTAGATGTCATTTTTTTAAAAGAAGATGTTCAATGTGTAAAGATAAAAGCCGTAACTTGGAACTTCCAAACTCTGAATAATATTCTACTTTACATTAATTGCCAGAAGAGTGAATACCAAGATCCATATCAGACAAGACAATATCACCATGCTGTTTTCTTACCAAAGATCAATTTTACAAATATCATCCAATCACTACAAAGCATTAGGTTAAGACCTAAACATAATTTGTAATAATATGTACTTAATCAGCCTCCACTACTTCTACAGCAAGAAATAAACAAGGAAAAATCCAAAAACTCATAAAGTAAAATTTCCCTCGATTTTAAAAATCAATTTGAATTAGTAACATGTACTGAACAAGTTTAAAAGGGATGGGGCAAAGGTGCTTAAAAAAAGGACTGGTTGAAATGAATTTATAAAGCAAGTATGTCCTACATTCCTTCACTACTCAAGTAAAACACTGAAGGTTCACTTTCACTGTGTTTTGTTTGAATTTTGCTCTTGTTTTGTTTTTCCGAGACAAGGTCTGTTTATGTAGCCCAGGATGATTTTAGCCTCACTAAGTTGCCCAGGCTGGTCTCAAATTCATGATCCTTCTGCCTCGGCCTCCCAAGTGCTGTGATTACAAGCAGGCACTACCCTACCATGCCTGGCTTGGAGTTTACTCTATGGAAAACATAAAGTGGTGTTCTCTACATAGCACATGCCAGGCATGGTCGGGAAGAGCATGTATTATACTGAAATAAAGTGGAGGCCAATGTGCCACAAGTGGAGGCTGAACACACAGGGACACTTCTACCCCACCCCACCTTGATCTCCTACTTGGTCCCCAAACGGAGGTTTGGCAGGCCTGCACTCTCAAGAAACACTGAAGAGTCTTCTCAGGAATTTGAGCAGCCTGAGAACAAAAACCTGAAGTTATCAACACAGGAAGTTCCTATTTGGCTGTGAAATTCAACCAGTAAGTACAACTCCTGTGCTCACAGCTTCAACTCAGCTTTTCTGTTCCTAGTAAACAGGAATATATAAAAGCTTCAAGAAATCTAGTGGAAGATTAACACAAAAGACCCAGATCAAAAGAAATATACAACAAACAGATAAAAGTAGCTTATAGTGAGAGGAGCAAAATTTAAAAAAAACACACAAAAAAGACAAAAATACATCAGTATCTTTCAGAGATAAGGGGGCATATTACAACTATGAAGGAAGAACCTAGGAAGAGCTATGTATCAAATGAAAGAAACAAACAGTAGAGACTGGAAGCTTAAAGATAAAACCCAACAGGACACATAAAACAGCCGTAGTTCTGAAAAGAATGTGACAGTTGGTGAAAGTAAACAGAAGAAAGGGAACAATTAAACTTTCAAAATCATGTGTAGAAAAACCAAAAGAGCAAATGGAAAGGAAAAATGATCACAGTGTGTCACATGGCTCAGCTGTGAAAAGCACTTACAAGATCATGTAAAGACTCAAAGGTGACTTAAAATTTATAATGGATGATTTGGGGTTTAAAAAGATGTAAGGGGGACAAAGAGAAGAAAAGGCAAAGCCCACAACTTCCACAGAGGACGGTCTATAAATAATGCCAAAAATTAAAAAAATCAAAAGCAGCAAAGCAGACAAGCTATTCAGAAAATGGAACTAATCAATGAAGAGTTTAAGTGCAGAAGAGAAAATGGGAGCCCAGGAAGTAGGAAATTTGCTTACTGCTTTTTGTAATAATCTTATAAAATTACTGATCCCTGAACATTAAGCAATATAAAATTCTGTTAAATTATTAATAAAAATTTAAAAAGAGGGCCGGGGATTTAGCTCAATGGCACCATGCCTGCCTTGCAAGGCAAGCTCCTGAGTTCAATACCTAGCACTGCAAAAAAACAAATAAAAGGAAAAAAAGAAAAGAAACAACAACAGCAACAACAACAACAACAAAAACCTTCAGGACATTTTTTGTTTAAATGGCAAACTGCTTCAGGCTTCACTCTGTGTTATACCACACTGTTTACACCAGCGGACACAACACTCTAACGCATAATACTCCCACATGTTCCACTCTCACTCCCACTCTTCAGGTGCGACCATAAACAGAGGCTTCTCTAAATTTTACCTCAAGCAAAGCTGCTGCAGGATCACCTTGTAGGCTTTTCCCCAGCTTGTCAACCTCATCCAATAGGAACACTGGGTTGTTGACTCCAACAGTCTTCAAGCCATTGATTATGCGCCCAGGCATGCTGCCAACGTAGGTCCGCCTATGGAAAGCAGGCAGCAAATTCACAATGAAATGTCAGAAGGTGAGAGCAACACCTTTCACAGATCACACTGCAGGACTGGAAAGGAGTCATTTAGGTAGTGCTGTAACACAGCAAAGAGGTTCCATGTATTTAAAAGGCACTACAATACATCAAAAAGTTAACAGATTCATTTCTACTCAAGTAGGACACTGGCTACACATTGCTCAGAATATTAGATTATTTCCTTTTGCCATTTAGTAAAATGGAAAAACACCACAGCTATGGTTATTACTCCTCAAGATTCCAAAATGTCCAAAATGTCCTATGAGTTTAATTCCCAAACTTTTCACGTTTTTCAGAACACCCTTACCCAAACACAACTGTTTTACATATTAAAATATCCCCCACAGAGCTGGCTAAAACATCTTTACGAAAAGGCTTAAAATTGTTACAAATGGCACCTAGATTGTAGAGCAAAGAAAAGAAAATTTCTAAACTCTTAACTTTCAAAGGCAATAAACTTCTATTAATTGCAGCAAGAGGGTCTGAGATCAACAGTTTTGTTTTGTTTTTTTGGTGCCGGGGATCAAACTCAGGACCTTGCACTTTCGAGGGAGGCAGTGGAACCACTGAGCTAAAAATCCTTGGCCCTCAACAGTATTTTTCTAAATTCTGACCTCCTAAATAAAATATATCCATCTCATATGCACAAAGGGGCATAAGCAAAATCAGCCAGACATTTTGTTGGGCATTAGAAATGTCAGAGGTTGTGTTATACTTGAATAAGAGTCATCTAATCTATGTAATTACGGCAGATGCAGAGTGTGGCATGAAAAGAAGTACGCTTAGCAAACTCTGTCCTCTCTCCCTCTCTCTTTCTCTCTCTCTCTCTCTCTCTCTCAAAGCTAACAAAACTTTAAGCAGCAATTTACTTCTTTTTAATTACCACCTTCCTATGTTAGGTACCAATAAAAAAAAAAAGCTTTTTCTGAAAAGGCATAAAATGCTGACCCCCTAGAAGAAAAAGACCAATGATAAGCAGAACAGCACCAGCTATCTCACGATCCTCACAAAGCCAATTCACAGAGTGAGCCTCGATTCTGCCACATGACCAGTATAAAGTAGGACAGAACAAACAGAGCGACCTTTGCAAGGACAGGACAGCCTTAAAAATACCGTGGGAATGCCTTTCATCTAGAGAAGGTGGCTGATGCCCTGGGATCAGATACCAGAGGTACTGTCCTGGGACGACAAGGAATCAGCACATCTCAGATATCAGAATGCAATATAGAGAGGGAAAGATGAGAAATTAATGAACTCTCAATTATTTCTCCATACTTGATCTTAGCTAAAAGGCCAAGAAACAATTTGAATTATTTCTCTAGAGAAATTACAGATTTTTAATTACTCTCATTTTTAGAGTGGTAGAAAAAGGGAAAGTAAAAAGAACGCAAAGTCTTTATGGGTCTTCTGCAGCATTAATTTACTCATTTGTGTGTGTGCGTGTGTGTGTGTGTGTGTGTGTGTGTGTGTGT